TAGCTTTAAAAAAACAAAGTGGTGGTGGTGGCGGCGATGGTGGTGGTGGTGGTGGTGGTAGTGATAGTGGTGGTGGTGGTCATGGTGATGGTAGTGATGGTGGTAGCGGTGGTGATGGTAATGATTGGTGGTGGTGGTCATGGTGATGGTGCTGGTGGTGGTGATAGTGATTTGTTGAGCACTGATGAGGTATAGGCGTGGTGCTACATATGCTAACTTGTTTGGTCCCCATACCCACCCTACCAAGGGTAAATACTTGATTCTGTACATGAGGAAGTTGATGCTCAGAAATAAGCTTGCGTACCTGAGGTCTCACAGGCAAGTAAATGAGGAAACTGGAATAGAAACTCAGATCTGTTATTTTTATCATAAATGTGGTCTCGGGAGAATACTCTGTGGTCTCTTTTTGTTCTCTGAATTGTGTGAATTGTCAGAATGTTCAAGCATTAAAATTTCATAATGATTTAAGTTGATTTATCTCTATTCTGCTTTTTGAATAAGAAATCCTAGCCAAATGTAAGAGAAATTATCTAAGGTTGGGCTGAGAGCATCTGGATTTTACATTCTTCCTCTGATGTTTAATCTTAGCCAAGATAACATCAACTTTCTGAAGCCCTAGTTGCTCATTTATAACTGAGTGCAGTAATTTCTGCTCTATCTTCACAGGCATTGTTAGATGGATTGAGTGAAATAATGAATGAGCTGGCTTTTCCCAAACTGTGAAGGCATCATTATTATCATTACCATTATATTCCTTTGTGGAGTCCCTGAAATTTAGGCTATTTCTCAAGGTTACTGAGAGACCCCTTCAAATTCTCATCATTAGAATGGGTGGTGTTCATACAGATGTGCCCATTTGAGCATTTATAATTTTAACATGTGGACTGAATCTCACAGCTCAGTATTTTACGTCAACGTGTATAACGCCATTAAAAATTTGCTTCTTAATCAGGAACTTCCACCATAACATGAGCATCAGATTATAAGAAGGTGCTGGTGTTTTTATTTTGTTGTTATGTGAGAAGATGTGTGTTTTGGTGATGTCTGCTGAAGTAATTTTGTAATGAAAAAGTATGGACAGATGAATAATCTTAGTAAGTGGGGAACGGATACATTGTACTGTTCTCTCTACTTTGGTGTAGGTGTGGAAATGTTACCAATACACTTTTAATTATTCTTTTTCAGATGCAGCTTTTCTTTTACAATCCAGACGACTTTGACAGCTTTCAAACTGCCATTTCTGAAAACAGAATAATCGGAGCCATGGCCATATTTTTCCAAGTAAGTTAACAGTGGCCCAAGTACCTCATCCAGAGAGTTCTTGGAGTATTTTTTTTTAATTCACCGAATTGTTCTGTGTATAACGAACGCATCTGTTTTCTAGTTCACACCTGTCTAAATGAAAGATATTTCATATTGTCTAATGTGTGATTTAAAATGTAAATAAGTATGTTTAGAAACATAATGAAAATTTTTGCATGAATTATCCTGATTTTATTGCCACTTGACTGGTACACAGATTGAAGAACACATTTATCATCTAAGTTACTTTCACTGCTGAAGCGTTTTGAACAGGTTCCTTCAGCATATTAAGAGGCTGATGTAAAGGAAAAAAGTGGTTTTCTTTGGAACAACTTCAAAATTTGACATTATGTGCAAGTAGATTAATAAATGGCATCAGTCACTTTTCTGAAGAGACCCCTCTTCATTCGCTCCCAGAAATCCCCAACTGAAGTACATATTGAGACCATTTCTCAGCTACTCCGCTTATGATTTGCCATCATTTCTTTCTCTTTTTAAATGTGGGCTATTTGCATTAATGAGTGTTCCTGGCTCCTGTATTGATTTTGCTCCCAGGAGCCAAACTTCATCCTTCCACGGGTAATGTTGTTGAGACTTGTTAATGTCAAATCAAATTAATATTGACCAAGTAGCCTAGAGAGACCTGGTGCTTTATTGTGTGGAAGGTAACCTGAGTAGTAGGTATGTGACTTGCCTTTCAGTCTTAAAATTTGCCAAAGACCACATACAGGTGTTCCTTTTACCAGTGACTAATTATATCTTCCTGACAAGTCAAAGGAACATCAAAGACATCAGCACCTTCCCTGACATGGTCCTTTAACCTCTGCCTTTTGGGGCAAGCTTCTTTGTCATCGAGATGGAGCTGCTCTTGTTTCCAGTAATTTCACTACTCTTTTTCATATAAAAATAAAATGATGGAAAATTCTCTCCACTGCTTATCTCTCCCTCTTAACTACCGTCTCTCCCTTTCCTTCTTTTGAATAAAGGCACAAATTGGAGGAGATTAGTTTTCCAATGTAAAAAATTGGAAAACTAATATTCTACTCAAACATCAAACACAATAACAGTGGTTGGTGGTCATCAGCTGGGTCATGGTACTTGTTTTCCAACTGTGGGTTCTGACCTTCTGGTGGGCTGTGAAGTCATGTACGTGAGACCTGACCAGCATTTTAAAAGTACTGACATAGAATAGAAAAAAAAAATCAGAAAATATTAGTATGTCACACATAGTGAGCTTAATTATGTTTGTAACACTTTTCTTTAGTTGTTTATATCCAGAGCGACGCAGGGACTATGTACTGGGTCATGTTATAAAATGTGTTGGTTTTATCGTGGTCAATCGACAGATATTTTGGAAATCATCTTTTGTATTGTACATTGGGCTGATCTCTCCATTGTCCCCAAGGTTCTCCCCCACATACTTTTTTCCTGTGCTTTTCATGAACCATAGCAGAGTGTAGAGTTTTAAGAGTTTATTCACTGGAGGAAAAACCCTTTTCTTTGAATCCCATCTCTTCTAATTAACATCTGTTTAATGGTGACCTAGTAATTTAAACTTTCCAACCTCAGTATCCTTATCTGTGAGGTGGGGGTAGCAACTTCTACACAATCAAGATTGTAGAAGTCATTACATGGAGTCCCTAGTATCGGTCCTGGCACATAGTCAACACTGGGACATGACAAATAATATGTGTCCATGTCATCCATCTCTGTCACTATGGGATAGAGACCCCATGGTATGCGAGTCTTCTTTGCAGGAACAGAAGACTGTTCTGGACCCTGTCCTGTTGGCAGCTCATTTGGATTTTGGCAGGTCCCCTTCTGCTTCTAAGCCATGATTAGGTTGCCTTTGACAATCCTGGGGTCACTTGAAACGTTCCTAAACAATTCCCAGCTACGTGGTTAATCCCTTCTTTTCTGTTACTGTCTGCTTGGCATGGTGCTTTTCAGGTAGTTGGACCTCTACTCCCCTAGCCCTGCCCTCAAATCTAACCCCCTCCTCCCCTGTCGTGCCCACCATGACCAGCTCAGCCAGGCCCTGGGTCATCTTTCTTGTGGGAAAATGCATTTTACAAATGTTTTTAGGAGCACTAACAGGGCTGCTTCACAGCATGCTCTACCCCAAAGCATTTTATTTTTCTCATTCTGTAAACTCTTGTTAAATATAAGACCAATTAGTCTCAGGCAGGGAAAGCACGTTGGTGTACAAACCGCAAAACACCTCAGTGGGAAATCCAGGATTTGAATTTTAAAGGATTCCTAGGGCAGGACTGCTAGCTCACATGCAAAGAAATTTAGATGCATTTCATCTAGTAAGTTCCTCTCTGAATTTTGGCTTCCTGTCCTCTAGACACAAAATAGCGGGCAGACAACCTGGAATGGGACAGAATTGCTGTGGTGAGCTGCCCCATAGTTCCCCTTAGAAATGCAGTTGTACATCAGTTCATTTGTATGTCTGAGTTCAGACTGTGACATGCAATGGAAAGGGAAGCTTTATTTTTGTGATTTTAATTTCACAGTCCAGTTAGATCCCATACTGTGAGATCTTTGTATTTTGAGTCTTTCCATAGGAATGTTAAATTTGGGAGCTTGGTATTTCTCCCTCAAATAGTCAGTTAAATCTTGGTATATATTTCCCTATTCAAACCTGGCATCACACATGTTGGCATTGAAGGAGTATTTACCATCCCGTTAGCACTGATTCAGAGCCAGGAATACTACCAGGTGCGCCACTAGATAAAATACATGGGATCAGCACCTGCCCACTAGGACCCCACAGTCCCACGTGATCATGGCCAGAAAGCGGGGAGTGGAGAAGCTTCCCCACTTGTGACGAGGCTGTGCTCTGACTTGGTGCCCACGAGCCCACCTATTCATTATCCCGAGGGCCATGATGCCAGTGGCCCGAGCTCATGCCTAGGCAAGGCTAAGCCCACGCAGATGTTGTAGCCTTGATGCTGACTCACATTAGAATAATTTTTTTACATTCATTTTTTCATTATATTTGTTTCTTTTTCCTTCCTCATCATGTGCCCATTATTCCATGTAATTTTAGCTCTCTCACTGCCTTTGCTATGATTAGATAGGACGAACTTCATGTTTCCAAAACACCAAAACAAACACAAGCCTAAGGAGCACATAGTTGACCAAACCATATGTTGACCTAGAGTAGAGGTTGTCCCACAGGCAGGCCTCTTGTGGCTCACAGGAGTAATGTCTGAACAGACATAGCATTTACAATTCTTTTCTTTAGTTAAACATGGGAGGTTTTACACATGACATGCAGATGATATAGCAGCAATCAAAATCTGAGTAGAGGCTGTTGGTCTACTTTGAAGGGGCCTTGCTTTCCCATTGCAGCAGTCTTCCTCATGCCTTCATGTCAGCATGACTTTCAGATCAGGATCCCAAGCTGGACCCCAGTAACGCTGAGTGGTAGCGGACATCTTTCAGTTGCAGGCAGAGCTGAAGGTCAGTGTCAATGCTGAAAGGTGAGCCAGGTCTTTCTGAGTGCTTGGTGTGAACACCAGTGAAGGAAGGAATGACCCCTCCCTGTATGTAAGATAGCGAACCTTGGCAGCATATATGGTTGTGTGCATTTGGGCCCACAGAGCTCTACAAGGTGCATTCACTTCATAGCCACTGGTGGGTGGAATATTTATTACAATTCTCCCACTCGTGTTAGTAGTGTGTCTGGAAGAAAGAACGCCTTGTTTTCCAGTTCATATACACCGTTGCACCAGCAACCCTCTGGAAGATACAGTGGCAAGTAAGGATAACATTTGATTTTAAAGGATTTTCAAATTAATCATGTTAAGAAACTGGCAAGGGATAAAGACATTTGTTAATCCACTGAAGAAATAATTCAATGCTTGTTTAACTAAGTTATGTAAGGCAAAAATTAAAATGATTATTTTCTGTTTGTTAAAGTAGAATCTCCAGTATTCTTGACCATTAGTCTGATTTGAATTCCTGTAAAAATGTAAAATACCAAACGTCATTAAAATGCTCTTTTAAAATATTTTATTATTCTGGCAGTACTCTACCTGGGTTTAAAGAAGTAAAAAATAAGAAAACAATGTTTACAGGAAAGCTAAATATAGCAGTGGAATGATTAGACAGTTTGTAAAGGATACTTCACTTTGAAAATAACTGGAAATATTTTATTAGCTCTGATTTAAGATTATGGAGTAAAGAGTACCAGTACTCTCAGTGACTTTACTTTTACTAGCAAGTAGGCCTATGTGTTTCAAGTTTGAATCTTCCATCATAACTCTCTGAATTGGATTCTGATTTGTTTTTCTTTTTTATGATCCTTTCTTCACCATTCCTCATGAACACTTCCCTCATTTACGCACCGGAACTGAAATGCCTTCGAACCATGCAGCTATCTTACTGACTTTCAATCTGATGCTCATAGATGCTGGGTAACCCCAAACCTCTTAGGGTTTTTATTATTGTAGTTTTTTCCAGAAGTACATAATCATCTTTGAATTTTGGTTTGGAACATCTCATTAATGTTATGGCTTTTGAATACCTAAAATTTTAGTTCTATTTCCTGATTCCATTGAACTTCGGAGTTATAAATGCATGATTCTTTAAGAGCACCTACATTTAGAAACTTTTCTTTTGTGATATTCTTTGCGGCTTCCTTGTTAGACCTGTTTGGGTGTAGTCACTTCTGAAAATTTGCATCAGACACAAAGATATAATATTTTCGTCATGTCTGCATCCAGAGGCCCAGCCAATGGCATTGTTCTTGTACATTTCAGAAATAACTAAATTGCATCCCGTTTTATTTAAAGGTTGTCTGAAAAGACTTCTTTTGAAGACTCAACAGTTCTACCGAGGTTTCTTCATTCAATGTTAACAGTTTTACTTCTACTGGGAGAGTTGAGCCCCTTTCACCAGTATTTATTTTTTTTTAATTTCTATTTAAATTTCTACCCAGAATCTTCCTGCAGTCATTTGGTCTTCCC